CCTCTCTCTCTCTCCCTCCCCCCTCCCCTCCTCTCTCTCTCTCTCTCTCTCTCTCATAATACCACACCGAAAACACATAAGAAACAGAACGTGAATCCCGACAGCCAAATTTGCTGCTTCACACTCAATTGTCAAAGTGTCTTGTATAATTTAGTCGCAGTAAAGCCTGATAACAGAATCAGCTCCTGCTGTAAACAACCATGGCTGCTTGGGATGGAACTTGCAGTCCATAACTCCTACACAGCAGAATTGACTCTCACTTTTACCACAGGGAACAGGCTATATGATATATGTTGCATAAAAATGAAGCAATTACATTTTCAGGAGGACATATGTTTATTGGCATTATCTGGAGGGAGGCAAACACTACAGCCAATGCCTCGGTAAAGAAGGCGCTTCACAGCAGTCTGCCTTTGAGAACCTTTTGAGCTCTAAAGGTTTACTGTATTATCTTTTTGTAATCATGCATGTATAGCATTTTTTGGGCCACTTAGGGGCTTTGCACACAAACACCCGCAGGGCAGGTGCTTCATTTTCTGTACTCTGTTTTTCTAGTTTAGCAATACAACAGTTAGCATTTTTTAAAGAAAGCAATACAACAGTTAACATTTTCAAAAAAGTAAAATAATAATAATAATAATAATAATAATAATAATAATAACAATAATAATAATAATAATAATAACAATAATAATAATAATATTAATAATAATAATAATAATAATAATAATAATAACAATAATAATAATAATAATAATAATAATAATAATAATAATAATAATAAAAACTAATTCCAAAACCAGGATTTCAATTTCAATCGAATTAAGAGGTGTCATTTGTTAAAATATTTCTTCATTTTTCTTCTTAAGCACTTTGTTTCTTTTTTGCTATAAATATCCACAATTGTCCAAACGATATGCTTGGGATCACAAAGCTCGAAACAAGTCCCAAGGGCTTAGTCCTAAGCTAATGACACCTCATGTAGTCAAGAAGCAGCCTCCATATATGAGCCATTGAGCTTTTTGTTCTTTTTGTTCTTTTTTTTTTTTTTCGGGTAAGAGATATGGTCATATGGACATCAAGTTTGCATAAACCTAAATGTCATTAATCCAGAATGCAAAACTATATATGAACATTTATCTTTGGTACAAGAGGTCACAATCAACCATGGCCTTTGGATGTAAAATCGGGAGGCTAGGCATGTCGCGTTGACTGGCAAAACTTTGTGACACCTCTCAAACTGTCAAATTTCACATATGATGGCTATGGGTGATTGTGGTCTCCTCATACCAAAAGTAACCTCATAGTATACAATCCAATGAGAGGTGAAATCCCTCAACGATAAGTTCATGTTTAGAAATGATCAAAACAACCATTACAGGAAGGTCCATTGATCAAGACAAATATGCTTGATTACATGTATATGTGCAACAATCATATACTTTCTGCCGATGTCTAGAACTAAAGAAACTTGATCGAGTTGGTCACTGCCCAAAAATTTAAAAAGTTAACCCACAAAAACTCAGGGGAGTTTTTAGGGATTTTGCAAGTAATAAAAGAGCACAACTATCCATGGTGGTCCGAACCTAGGCCATCACAGTGCCATACCACACTCCTATCACTCCACCGAGTACCATTTATATAATAAAATGTCAAAAAAAATCTTTCGTAGAACTCAGTTTCCAATTATAAAACTCAGCAATTGGCCAAGTTGAGTTGGTTCGTATGTTTTAGTTGAAACAAGTTTTTAATCCCTGCTTTCATCAACCATTCAAAACTTGAGTGCATGAGCAACTGTTTAGGCGGCAACAGAACAGTGTATCATATTTCATATACTTGAGGGTATTAATACACTAGTCATTGTATTGTTTGCAAAATTGGTCCACTGTAGTTATAGCAATGAAGGTTAGAATCCTGAACCTAAACTTTCGATTGATTTGAAAACACATATACAATATCACTCTCGAAGACGAGAAAATATAATCCTCCCATCCACAATAATTCTTCAACATTTAATAGCAATGGTGGGATCACCAAAGAAACAACATGGGTTGAATGCCATGGGTAGCCCGGACGGGGGTGCAACAGAAAACAATGTATTGTATTATTTTGATATTTAGGGTCAACGATGGAATTTTACTGAAAGGAAGGAAGTAATAACACAATCTCCTCATATGAATTTCATACAACTAGAAATGCATCACTCCAAGATATATGCATATGCATAAATTACTCAAAAAATAAATACAACTTCAAGTCATTTTTTGTGAAGAAAAAACATCAAACAGAGTCCAACAAGCAAAACAAAAATCAAGTCATATAGATTTAAAAAAATTAACAACAAAATATGGCAAAATAAACTCAAGTGTCTGTGAAAAATGATTTTCAAAGCAACTAAGCGGAAAGGATCCTCATTGGCACTTATTGTCTTCATGCAAGATTAATTTCCCAACATCATCAGTATCCCAAGCACCGCATAATCCAATTATTTATATTCATGACCAGAGATAATTCCTAGACACAAACCTAATACCTACCCTTACACGTGAAAATCTACAAATAAAGATAAATAGAATCATCATGTTCGAGAGCACACATATTCAAAGTTGCATATCCATAACTGCTGCAAAAACAGGTCATTCACAAGAAATGGAGCAACAACTCTCATATATTTGAATCCAAAAAATATTATTTTATCATATTTTTTAGAACTTCCCAGATGCTCAGTACTCACTAGGGGTCCCCAATGCCAAGTGCTCAAAAGGAACCAAAGGCAACTCAAAAGTGAAAATTAACTTCTTTGTCCATATCAATGGCAGTGAAACATAGGTTTTAACTTTCTAAAGGAATTCAGAAGATAACTATTATTAAACGCATCATAGTCCAAAAAAACAAAAAATGTGATAGAGGAAAATGATCATAATGATGACATGCCAAATTAAATGCTTACCTCGACCATCCACGCTCTTATGCCCTTGCAGAATCTTTAGTGGAACAATAAGAGGGTTCTGATTCAGATCTGAGTAAACCATACCATGAAAAACGTGGGCTGTGCAATCATCAGAGCATGATGCAAATAGAGGATAAGAGCGATGAAAGGCCACACTCATAATGTCCTTCGAGTGATTCCTGAAAATTTACAAACCCGATACAGCACGAGTAAATACTAAATACTTTAAAAGCATATAGAATGATTGCAAGTACATAGTTGACCAATAGAAATAGGACTGTTTCAAAGCTTCCTTACTTCAATGTTTTGTATGCTTGTGATGAAAGATCCAAATCAAACCAACACAGTTTTCCTTCTTTACTCCCGATGATTAGATTGTCACCTATATGGATAACAACCTATTAAGAAAATGCAAATCTATAAAACCAACACAAGAAAACTGAAAAGAATTTACCTCCAGGATGGATTGCAATGGATGATATCTCACGTAGCCCAGTTTGCAACTTCTTAAGAAGCCTTATTTTCTTAAGATCATAAACAAGAACAACCCTCTTAGTTGCAATGAAGAAAGTTGGACGAGAAGGATGGAAAATGGCAGAAACAGGGAGTCCATGAAATTTCCTAATTGGAACATGTGTTTGTTTTTTCGAGAGCTGGTGCAACATTACTGCTCTTGAATCACGTGCAAAAATAAATTAAGGAATGCCCAAGTGAGGAAATTGATTAAATGAGTTAGCACACAATTTTTTTTATTTTTCTTTTTGGTGGCTTCCACTCTTCTGACCATCTATGCCTTGAGTCCATGACCGAGTTAGCACACAAATGAGGATAGAAAGAGTAACACTGAAGAAGAAAACAAGCTGAATCAGAACATACTCCAATTTGGGTTGCCCACACTAATGGTTATCATGAAAATGAATTTAAGCCTGAGAAAAATTTAAGCCTGAGAAAAATAAATGCATTTTAATGGTTGGTCATCTAGAACTTAGTGTTCCTCAGAAACAGAAAATTTAATTGAAAGTCACTTTGAAAGGTTTTGCCATCAACATGTTCTGACAAGCAAGGAAGCACGGGAAACATCGCTTAACACATTTGAGTCCGTCGACATGTCAACTATTTAAAAAGAGTATGTGAGCTATAGTTTTACAAAGATCAAAACAACTGAATGGGATTTGAATTTATTAAATCACTACCATAGTCAGTCAAAAAAACAACCCCTTCATCCAACTGAAACCAACCTTTAGGCCCTGATACAGACAGCACAGAGAATATTTCAAATTTTAGAGAACAATTTTTTCGGTGATTGGGCTCTAATAAAATAAGGAAAAATTTGTAGGTTGCAAGATCTGTTGAGATAAAAAGAGGTCCTTTGGAAGCAGATGTATTAGTTCCAATAGATTATCGGGACCAAAAAGTGTATGCCATTCATAGATTGGCTTAAACATGTAAAACAAGGAGGCCAATGAATCACTTGTCTCCACATATCTATTCCAAATTAAAGAAACAACCCATCTAAGACTAACCCATGATTCCTCCAAAAAATTATGCCAAGTTCAGAATTTCCAATCAACTAAAAGCATAGATTTCAGGTAATTAGTTAAAAGAAAGAAGCCAATGAGGAAGGACCAGAATAACCATCCAGGAGCGAACATGAACTAGTGTGGGTATTCTAATACCCAAAATGAAGCCAACGATGAAAATCTAACTTTAAAATCACAATAGTTTCTTGCAAATAATATTACCAGTCAAGTGGTTGGAATTAATAAGAGGCAGGCGCAGCACAAACAAATTTAGAACAAAAGTAAATCTTAACAATCAAGGGAAGAAGGGAAGTGCTGTTTCATGACCAAGCAGTAAAGAATGTTTGGACTAGCATCAAAAAGAAGTTTCAAAAGAAAGACTGTAAATTACAAAAGTAGTTTTGTCAATCATAATTAGGTGAAAACACTTTAAACTGCAAATTAGGTAACACATTCAGATAAATAACTCCAACAAAAAAATTTCTATTAAACTATGACACAATGGCACAATTTAGGAAATTTAAAAAATTCTAATGTAGATGTTTTCCAATCATATATATTTGTCATTGGAGCACAATATTTCAAGGATATCACTTGGTACAACTGTTGTGAAGTAATCTCCTTTACACTGCCAGGCAACCAAAGATACAGTCTGCAACAGCACATGGAACTATGTCAAATGACATGCAAAGTTTACTGAAATCCATTTATAAAGCAGGAAATCAGGGATCAAGTTCCTGAGATAGAAAAGAAAAAAATACCTTGAAATGCTTCAATTTGATACCATCATGCTTGTCATGTTGCGACCAAGTCACAACAGATTGGTTGTCACCTAAGCATTTGCACCTTATTTGATTAAACAAATACAATCATGGTAACTAAAAGATAAGAGGATTATTTCCAAAAAGCAAAAAACAAAAAAAACCAAAAGATAAGAGGCATTGAAAATTAACATACCAGTTTCATCTGGAACAGCATGCACTTCAACATGCAATAGTTCTTTAACTTTTTCTTGTTCCTCAGCAGTTCCAAGCCCTAAATTCAAAAGAAGCACCTCTTGCCCCCTTAAAGGTACATGAAACTAAGTTCAGATGAAATCTGAGTCCGCAAAATACATCACACTATTTTTTTTTAGAATTATAAAATACATCACATTTTTAGAAGCAACAAGATGTGGAAAAGAGGAGTACAACTGACATGACAACTGCTAATATCGGGAGTTCAGGCGCTGGATTCCATGCAACGTGCTGGACTGGTTCATCAAACTCCCAAACACTATGGCACCTACCAGTTGCCACCTCCCAAACACGCACAGTTCTATCACTTGAACCTTTTACCATTGAAACACTCAAGTCAATTGTAAAATATAAATGAATGCAATGGTTACTTGCAAAGCAACATAAGCAAAAGTCCAGGTCTTAGTGTCCGAACCAGAAGCAATCCATTGGCCTGATGCTTCCATGGAAATTGAAAGAACGAAACTACTATGACCTCGGTACTCGAGAAAACAAGTCACAGGGTAAGGTCTGAGATCTTTCGGGCTTGGAAGCTTGGGCTTCAAGGACTCTGGATCAATATTAATCTGAGACAGTGATCAAAATATAGAAAAGAAATTTAGGGGTGGGTTAAGAAAATAAAACATATGATAAATATTTAGTGATAACCATTTAGTGTCTTAAATTCGTGTGATGGCCTTCAATACTTACAAATGAACCAATCTGACCCAACTAAATTGGCACATATAATGGTCTTATGAAAATATGAATAGAATAAAAAAACTCTACCACCCTTAAGCTTTCAACTAGCTTCCATACTCACCCGTTTTTTCCGAGTTCTAGGACACAAATATAAGTCTAAGCAACGATCAAAAAATTCCCTTAGCAATTTCTCATAAGCCGGAACTACTCTGTAACGTTCGTATCTGTGAGATGCACATAAGACAATTAATACCAATCTGGTGTTCAGCTATATGAAGAGGGTTTGAGTTCTAATAGACATTCAGCAATTGTGAGTCAGAGCAACAATACCGTCTTGGGATAAACTTGGGACGATCTTCCTCATACATCAACTGGTAAGAATTGATCTCTTCTTGACTAGGAATATATTCTATAGATGGATTATATGACTCATCATGGCCTACACATAAACAGCAGATATAAAAGTTAGAGCTGATTCTTTAATGAGCATTAAGTGGAAATGTCCTCTTGCCCGGAGATCATAAGGTACACCAGAAAAGTTAGAAAAAAAGTGCACCTCCACATACGTAACATTCAGACTGCTACCATACAATAATGACATTGGAATTTTTCTTAAGTGAAATAACAACTTGGAAACAACAAAAACAATTCCTCCAGGCATTATTATAGTTTCAAGGTAAATAGCACAATTTAAAAAGTATATGGAGAAAAAAGAATTGGAAAAGATGAATAAACACAGTATTAAAAGTTACATAATAAGACTTTTTTCAAAATTATACCAGGTATGTTTTGTTTTGGTGCCTGGATATGACTTAATCTTTGTGATGCTTTTTCCATTGGTGCAGACTCATTATCCCATATCATATAAAACCGTGGCTCTTCCTTCTTTTTCTCAAACTTTATTAACCCTTTCCGAATTTTTCTGATGTACTCAACAACCTGAAATACATAAGTAAGTAAAACAAACGAGTCAATTGCAACTGCAGACCAGCAAGCACAGTATGCAATCCAACCACTAACTTAATTATTGTATGAATAATGGTAAAAATGTACCTGGCTACCCAGGCTACTGTTTTGTGATGCAAATAAACAACAATTATTGTAAAAAATAAGTTATTGTTCCAAAATGCATATCCATAGAGATACCATAAAACTGCCTACTCATAGTTAGCTTAATCAATGCAAGTCATCCCTGACAGAATGATTTGCTAGAGTGGATGAATAGTAGAAAACTATCCCCATCAAAAACTTCACAGCTTTACGTCATTGTAACCTTATCAAGCTTTTGACATGCTTAGAATCCAAGGACCATTATCATAATGAGAATCTCAACCTTCAGAGCTATCCAATGAAGCATAAATTGAACATGGGTCACACAAAGTAGTCAAACCAATATTTTTAGTTCGAGTAACAATACCATCTCAAACTCAATCTACTTCAAATGTAAAATGAGGTTTGAACCTAAACTCTGAGATACACACGACTCTATCAATACCACTTGTGAATATAAATTCTACAACTCTTGGTTCCTGCATCCAGTCCAAATCTGATGCACTGAAAAAATTCACAAAAGTGGGCTGCATCAATATCAGCAAAGACCCTCGATTTGGTGAGAGTTTCTTAAAGCTTTCAACTTGACAGTTGTAATGCAGAAATCTGTGTCTACAACTCAACACAAGATACTCATCAAGTTTCTAAGCCAACACTCACTCACCATCCGACTTCCATCAATTTGCCTCACAGGATCCCTTTTCACTGAGCAGAAAAAAGAATGGGCAGACACAAGTACTCAAATAATTATAGGATGTAAGATCATCACTTTGCCGCTTCGGAAGTTCACTGATCATAAATATGGAATACTAGACAATGGCGACACTTCGTGTGTTGAAGATTCAGCATGATCAAAAGTCAAAGTTCAACTTCTACACGACATACGCAACCTTTTTACATGTAAATTAAAAAATAAAAAAATAAAGCTCAATGTACCCCACAAATACAAATATGATCAAGAAATCTGTCCACAGGATACTTTCAATAAGACAATAACTTTATTTAAATGAGGCACAATTTTCTTTTATTTCGTGACCAGTATGATGAGGAAGCAAAATCTTTCACATTTCTTTAACAGTCAAAAAATAACACAAGGATCCTATAACTTACAAGTCTCCAGTGACCAGTAAGAGTTCTACCATGATAACATCAGTCATAAAGAACACGCAATATGTACCTTTTTATGTTCCCATTTTGAAGGAATAAAACGCCGCTTTGGCTCTGGAGCATTTGATAATGGATGCCCTTTTCCATCCCAGGTGAACCAATCAACATAAAGCTGCAAGAATTTATGAAGAAAATCAAAAATTGAGGGAGAGATTGCATAAATGCATCCCAAATAAGAGTAATAAAAAGCACAGTAACATAACCAGTATAGTTTTCTTCGAACAATTAAGGATCTGTGAAAAATCAGTAAGCCAATTCCAAACCTCATATGGGTTCACTTCAAGATGCGGTGTTTTCCCTCTTGTCAATTGGCGAATAATCTTAATCTCATCTTTTGTCAATTCTATCTCTTCATCATTGTACTCATCATATATTTTTCGCCTACATATCTCATACATGTCAAATACTAAATACTAAATACAGCCACCGTCTTATTTTGCAAAAAAACACACACACACACACATATATATATATATAACATTTCAAGAAGAAAAAGAGTAATGTAAAGGGCTCTCAGCACCAGCTTTAAAGTATCAACAAACTCGGCAATATAAAGTTAGTCCTTTGACGTAAAAGCAGCTTTGGTTAAAGATATAGGTTCTAATAACTACTTTTGGCCCATACTTTGGAAAAAAGTCTCAATTCATATTGCTAATATGAACACAAAAAAACTTACCAGTTCTTTGAATCGTCAGTACTAGCAAGAAAAGCATCAAGCATATCCTTCCTAGCTTGTTTTTTAATCTTCTTCCCATCTCTATCATACCCTATGTGCCCCTCATCCTTGTACCATTCAAGAGGAACATTCCCTATTGTATTCCTCGGTGAGACCTGAAATTAAACCATCATAGAGGTGAAAATTGCATATATAAAATTTGATGAAACAAAAATGATCATTTATATGTACCTCATCTTCCGAGGAGTCACTCTCTTCAGCTTTCAGATCTTCACCTTCATCTTCTCCACTCGAATCATTCTTGTGACACCCAGTTTCAAAAAAAAAAAAATCATTCTTGTCACACCCAAAAAAGGGGTGATCCCCACAGAGATACAAAATATATTTCCAAATGATGTAACAAAGATAAATAAGTCCCAGAAAAGAAAGAGGAGTTAACATGCAGGCTCATACATCTAGAAGAAACAAAGTTTTATATAATAAAAATTGTCCTATTAAGCACTGGTAAAAATAGAAGATACGTAATACAAAGACAAAAAAACTAATATATATATATTGAAAATATAAGGTTGGGGCACAAAAATCTGAGCATATCTCGTGAAAAGTAAGGGAAACAATTATAGGTTCTTATATATCTCAACTTCCATAGACTCGCTCTCTTGAGATGCATCTTCCCCTTCATTATCTACATATGAAAAGGTACTAGAAAAACTTACATTTAGCAACATAATTGTATATATAAAATTTTATGAAACAAACAAAACTCATTTTGGGGTACCTCATCTTCCAAGGTCTCACTCTCTTCAACTTCCAGATCTTCACCTTCATCTTCTCCACTTGAATCACTCTTAAGAGTCACACAACCAAAATACAAATAAAATGCATAAATGACAGAAGAGGAAAAGAAAAGGTCATTAAAAAAAGTTCATGCAAAAATGAAAAGGGAGTAAACATGCAAACCCATACTTTTAGAGGAAAAATAACTTCGCATAACACAGTGTTCCAGGTTGATTCAATAGTGAGAAATAGAAAGTACATAAGCACCCAAAGAGAGATGAAAAATCCAGTTCATTTCTTGTGTATGAAAGCTTACAGAAAACTAGAAGTAGAATACAAAAGACATAATCACAGTTTATGAAGAGGAAACTTGAAACAGATTCTCATGTACCTCGTCTTCTAATGAGTCGCTCTCCTCGGGTACATCTTCCTCTTCATCTTCACCCCTTGAAACGTGCTAGAGAGCCATGATTAAACATTAAAACAGTTTATCAACAAAAGTAAAACATAAAATCATAATAAAATGCAGAAAATAAAGGAAATCAAACAAAATAAGAACATGACCAAAGAATACCAGAAACATCAAAATGAAGCAAACAATAATCCTTAACAGTTCAGTGATAAATTAGCAAGTATAAAACTATGGAAAGATGGCAATGGATAAAGCCAAAATTAACCAATTCTATTGGATGTCAATGCAATCATCCGAAGATTTTCTGTCTTTGCCATCCTCATATGCTTTAACTCTGGCTTCATCTCCTCTAGTTGCCCACTCTATTAAAAAGATTTACATAATTCTATTAAAAAGATTTACATAATTTCCACTAAATGACACAAAATAACCCAAAATAAAGGGAAGTAGGGAACAATTATTTCTTAAATGAATTTCCAATAGTTCCATTCAATTTTTAATATTAACCAGTAGCCCATATGTTTCTTGGGATTGATTTGGGTGTGCTATATGTTCCGTTGCAATTTATACTGCGTTTTATAATATCAGTAAAACATCAATATCGCACTGTTTCCTTTTTATTGTTAGTATTGCATTGTTTCTCAAATAACACAGACAAACAACAAAACTTAAAAAGACAGGCACATAGTAGAAAATTAAACATGTTCAGATGTTCATTCTTCTAAAATATCAACAGCATTTTCGTGTTTTTCGCAAAATTTCAAGTGTTTTTAAAATAATGTTAGATATAAATAGAGTTCATCTAATAAATAAGAATAGCAAAACAAAAGTAAAAGACGCAGCAAATTAAGTCGGAGTCTAAGACTATGCACTGAGCATAACAAAATACTACATCCAGTGAGTCCAGTGATTGAATTTCCAGATGAATAGTAGAAAATTTCAAATTAAACTTGAAGACAAGTATTTACAGTATGCAATGGGCCAAAACATTAACATGATAGTAAATCTGGAGAAGTACCTCATGGTGTGACTGAAAATCTTCATCTGCAACTTCATCTTCGGATAATCTCAAATTATCGAGAATATCTTTAGCTATTGAGGATCCACCTCCAAGCTTTCTCTTCTCTTTTTTATCTGATTTCTCTGAATTCGATCCCATTTTCTCCATTTCATGGGACTTCCTAAGGTTTCGTATGTAATTTCTCCATACTAGAAGACACTACTTGTTTAGGATTTTCTTCATCATCTTCCTCACTTTCAAAGGTTTTTCTAGGGCTTTTCTTCTTATTTACCATTTTCGACCCCATTTTCTCCTTTCCAAGGGGCCTTTCATTATTATTTTTTTGTGGGCTTTTCCCTCGTAAAAAAAAAGTGCTTGTGCGTTGGGGAACGCATTACTACATTTGCACCCCGTGAAGCATCACACATCCATCTTAACGATGGATGTACAGATGTGCAGTTGAGGTCTCTCAAGAAAGAGCCCAACGGTTTAAAAATTTTTCTTCAAATTTTAAAATATATCAACAAATCTATATATGTAAAAACTGATACTGTTTGTTGTCGATACTAGAAGACCGTGGTGATGGTTATGGGGATAGGCCCGACCACCGAATAGTGTGGAGTCTGATCGAGCCCAAATACTTTTAACGGTCTCTTGAATGGGTTAGACTTGATTTTAAAAAAAATAAATATGAAGACTATTTTTCTAAAATATACTCAATTTTATTTACTAATCCTATTAG